GTAAGGCTAAGAGAGGAACAAGGCTGATTTCTCCTGTTCTAGCTCCACAAAACCTTTAGTTCTAATAGATTTGCAATTAAAAAACAGCAAATATATGAAAACATTTTTTTATATTCAAAAAGACAAATGTATAATATATTACACATGGAAAACTTACAAAGCTCAACTTTGTAGGACAGCTTCTTAGACTGTAAAGTTAATTTAAAATTACAATGAATGTACAATATTTTATAGTATAAGCTCCTGTCTGAACAGTGTAATGATGGTTCTTTAGGATTAAAATAAGATTCTGTAGTAGTCATCTCTGTAGCTATACAGAAATAGTACAGACACCCTGCAAAAGAAGGAAAAGACAGGATAAGGGGTTGATAAATTGTTTTGAGAAGACTTAACCGTAGGAGGTTTTTGCTTAATCAAAAACAAAATCTAGTCACTAAAAAACTACATTAAGTTTTACAGAAGCTGTGACTGGCAAGGGTCCACAGTATAAGGGTCTACATAAGGAGCCCACCACTTGCCCCACAGGTTTTGCTGTTGCCTTTTAAGCGGATGACAACATGAACAACTGGCATTTGACAAAAGGACACAAAGCAAATTAGTCACACTTGTTTTCTTTCATATAAACATTGCTAGGAGTTACCTGGGTGATTCCCATTATGACTGGGATAGCTGCTACTGGGACCACTGTGTTTTGTTATTGACAAGATCATGACTGTAAGTCACAGTCCTGGGGAATATTTACGGGTTACCAATTGTAGTTCTCACATAGCAGCTTATTAACCATCTAACCACAAGACAAAATATGTGTCACTTTAAAACCCCTCCTTCAATAACAAAAACAAGAACCCCCCCCAAAAACCCTCCTTGAGTTTTAACCCATGTTAAAACCTGAAATGCCTAAGTGATAACTTACTTTTTTTCTACTTTGATGTTATAAATTTCATCACAGACTAATTTGAGGTATCTTTGCTTTGGCAGGCGTGACAGCAGCTGCTTCACAGTTGTGTTAAATGCCTGTTCATCAGCATCCCACTAGGAAGAAAAATAGCTAAGACTTAACAGGTAGTAGAGTGTATTAACTGGCTTTTTCAGGGTCACTAATGAAAACTCAGTGTCATTCCCCCCCGTAAATACAGTGAAGAAATCAGTGATAGGGAGAGAACTAGTGGGGAGACTGCTGGGGTTCTTTCCTTTGCAGCATCGAGTTTCTTTATAAGACTACCTTACCAGATCCTGGTTAACAGTGCTGCAACCCCCGTGTGCTCATGGGACTTTATATGAGTTATTTATGCCAACTGTTTACTTTGTGTGAAATGGAGATACCACCTCTGCTGTACATGCATCTGAGTGGCTCACAAAGCAGTGAGCTGCCAGGATAGTGCATAGTGCTATGTGCTTGCTTACAGGGCAACATGACCAGTAGGGGGAAGGGGAAGTTAGCTTGTAAAATAAGCTACGAGGATATGCTATACAGCACAGAGAATACAGCCAGTATTTTATATAAATGGAGTATGACCTTTAAAGAAAAGAATAGAAAATGTATTAAATGTTAGTTCTGGGGCAAAGTTCATTTGTCATCTAACTTAATCTGTGACTAAACATTGGAGAAACAAAAGTATTCTTTGATATGACATGTTGCAAAAATCATCTGTGGCCATTCTTATAGTTAAACATACAGCAAAGGTATTAAAAAATTTTAAAGTTCAATTAGGCTATTTGATAAGGGTATGTACCCATTTTTTAAAAAGCATATAAAATAGGACCTAAATTCATTTAATTTTTACAAAAAGATCTTCCATATTGTTCTAGTTCTGCAAATGAGCTTCCCTAGTTGGAATAAAGGTTTGTTCGAAGCAGCGTAGTTCAGCGGTTAACAATATAGATCCCTCTAGTCTGCCTAGGTTCAAATCCTGTCTCTGCAACTTACTAGCTGGGGTGACTCTGAGTAAGACATTTAGCCTCTCTGCTTCTGTTCTCCATAAGACGTAAAATGATTCTGTTTATCTGTAAAAAAGGCTAACAGTACATATCTCTTGGGGTTGTTATGATTAAATGAGTTAATATTTGTAAAATGCTTAGAACAAGGCCTGCCAGAGCCTGACACACAGTAAAAGCACTAAGTGTTAAAATAAAGGCACCTGAAACTTAAAAGAATGTCACTAGAAAAGTATGATTCCTTCAAAATCTGATTTAGTAATAATATGTCACGTAAAAGGAATGATATTAGTAAATTCCTGGAATTGCCAGAAAAATACTTAATTATCACTAGGAAAATAAAGCCACTTTCCATTTTCTTTTGGCAAATCAACAGCAAAGCTTTGGGATGTTAAAGGCCGTAATGCAGAAGAGTTCATCTTGCTTACCTCTAATGATAAAAACTGTAAGATTGTTTCTTTGGGTAGATCCACCTGTTGACACACACAAACATATGTCATACGACAGGGAACCTGGGCAGACTTGTGGCTGTGGTGTCACTTTGGATGGAGCGACATGAAGGGGATGCTCCTGTGCTGTTAAGCAGCCTTACCAAGCCGGACAGCGCTAAGACCTCAGCACTGGTGAACTAATACTCCAAGCCCACGACACCCCGAAGTTTTGACACTGCTACCAGCAAAGGCCGGAAACATTTAGAAAAATGGTGCTTTTCATTTTCACTCCTCCGAACCCCATCTATCAGAGAAAGTGGGAGAAACAAATACAAAACCTATTTTCTCCCCAGTTCTTTACGGATTTAGATTATGTAATTCATCACAGTGGTAACAGGCCTGCATCTCAGTGCTGCTGACATTGAAGAAAAAAAACGGCCTGACCACTGCGGAAACTGCTTTGACAGTTATGTACGGACAGAAGCCATTCTCAAAATGTTAAAGTGACTTACAGCCAAAATTTCAATTTCACTGCTCTTCTGATGTAAGTTGGCAAGAGAGGTCTGAAGTCGGGTTTGTACCTAATAGGGAAGAAAGCGTGTCAGAATTCAGAACCTGTCAAACTGAGCCATCTTTCTCGATAGTTCATTTCCCATTTCAGAAAACAATCATGGGTGGCAAACCAAAGTCTAGGAGGGATCCCAAATATTACCTAAGGACTTGCTCTTAATCCACCTTGGAAAGATGAGTGTCTAGTGTATCATGATCTCTAAGGAAAT